TGCTCCGCGTACTAAAGTTGTACTACAAAGTCGCCAGTTCTCAGCTTTCAGCTCCCCAGATGCTGTGCCTGCCACGAAATCTGCCCATGGAGGTTCACAAAGTGCTGCGCCTGTCACGAAATCTGCACCTCGAGGCTCACAAAGTGCTGTGCCTGCGACGAAATCCGCACATGGAGGTTCACAAAGTGCTGCACCTGCCACGAAATCTGCGCATGGAGGTTCACAAAGTGCTGCACCTGCCACGAAATCTGCACATGGAGGTTCACAAAGTGCTGCACCTGCCACGACATCTGCACATGGAGGTTCACAAAGTGCTGCACCTGCCACGAAATCTGCACATGGAGGTTCACAAAGTGCTGCACCTGCCACGAAATCTGCACATGGAGGTTCACATAAAGTGTTGTGCTTGCCACGAAATCTGCACATGCAGGTTCACAAAGTGCTGTGCCTGCCACGAAATCTGCACTTCAAGAAACAAGTGAAAACTCTAATCCCGATGGAGGGACGATTCCGACCACGCCCGAGAATGATCCGAGAATGATCCGAGAATGACCCGAGACCGTCTCGCAACCGTCGTTCCGCAGACCTTGACTTGCCAGCTTCGGAGCCACCGGTTCCATTGAAAAATACAGCATTTCGTGCGTTCGCCATCTCTCCACAACGCATTTTGTATTGCGCCTGCCACGAAATCTGCACATGGAGGTGCAAAAAGTGCTATGCCTGCCACGAAATGTGCACATGGAGGTTCACAAAATGCTGCGCCTGCTGGAGGTTCACAAAGTGCTGCACCTGCCACGAAATCTGCACATGGAGGTTCACAAAGTGCTGCACCTGCCACGAAATCTGCACATGGAGGTTCACAAAGTGCTGTGCCTGCCACGAAATCTGCACGTGCAGGTTCACAAAGTGCTGTGCCTGCCACGAAATCTGCACTTCAAGAAACAAGTGAAAACTCTAATCCCAATGGAGGGACGATTCCGACCATGCCCGAGAATGATCCGAGAATGATCCGAGAATGACCCGAGACCGTCTCGCAACCGTCGTTCCGCAGACCTTGACTTGCCAGCTTCGGAGCCACCGGTTCCATTGAAAAATACAGCATTTCGTGCGTAAGTGCTGTGCCACGAAATCTGCACATGGAGGTTCACAAAGTGCTGCACCTGCCACGAAATCTGCACCTGGAGCTGGAGTTGCCTGGAGCTTGAGCTGTTGAAACCAGAGCTAACTGGAGCTAGAGCTATTGAAACTAAGAGCTTATTGGAGCTAGAGCTATTGACACTAGAGCCAACTGGAGGTGGAGCAAACTGGATGATAAGTAGTGTATGATGAGTGGTGTATGATGAGTGGTGTATGATGAGTGGTGTATGATGAGTGGTGTATGATGAGTGGTGTATGATGAGTGGTGTATGATGAGTGGTGTATGATGAGTGGTGCATGATGAGTGGTGTTTGATGAGTGGTGTATGATGAGTGGTGTAGGATGAGTGGTGTATGATGAGTGGTGTATGATGAGTGGTGTATGAAAAGTGGTGTATGATGAGTGGTGTATGATGAGTGATGTAAATGTTCGTAACACGGAAGTTCCTTCTAAACTTCCTTTGGTAATCACTTTAACCATCTTGCAACATTTGTTGTCGGGCACTCTACAAATTGTTTGCGTTGTTGAATGTGTTTTCGACCCCCTTGAAATTGTTTCAGGGGCCCCTAAATCGCATGCGTTTTATTCAACCTTTTTACACTTGCAACCAACTGACGCACACATGCTAAAGATATATTAAGGCATAGACTGTTGAGGGGACCCTTTTGCTTGCCTGTCAAGGGCGTGGTGGTGCAAATGATGCGACAAAGAAACATACGTTAGACATTAGGCATGCTTGATATCTATAAACATATGTGTTTGGCAATGTTTTCTTTCACTCCCACTCCTCTCCCACACACAGTTCATGTTGCAGAATGTGCGTTCCCAAACAAAAATGCACATCCCCTAGCTAAAACCACAGCAACGAACGCAGAGTCAGCGTTTAACGCCCTTGTTGGGTTTGTCCCTTTCCGTTTGGTGTCCCTTTCGTTGCCAAGCGCACCGTTTCTCTTCTTTTTCTTTCATGCCTCTCCTGCTTTCACGTCTTGTCATTTCATGTCATGCTTCTGCGTGCGCATCTGTTCGGGCTGTAGCGCGCGCATGCGCACGTACAGGCGTACAGTTAGAGTAGGCCAGGTGCCCCAGGAGTTGTTGCAATGAGGTTTGGCTCATCGGTTGTCCCTGTTCATCTGGTTCCCCATTCATTGCTCTCACTCCTATATACGTCGCACGCCGTTCTCGCATGTTTCCCTCATGCCTCTTCACTTGTCACGCGTTGCGTGCACATGTGCCCGAAGCGCCCCCCCACTGCTGTGTGTGTGAGCCTTACAATCCAAGGCGGCCTTTTGACTTCTTTGCGGGGGCAGCCCGTTCAGCCTTACACGAACGAAGACATTGAATGTGTGATGGTGATATCGGTCCGGAGCGCGTGTGATGCTTCTTGAGCCACGAAAGATGTAGATTCTTGGAGGTGTTTCTAGGTTTGGTGAGGTCGAGCTGCAGTAAACCTGGTGCTGCATATCGTAATTTTGTGTTTTTTGATTTGGATCTTTTTGGAGCGTCGTGGCTGTACACCGCTGTGTGTTCAGTGCCAGTGGCATGCAGACCGCACGTGCCGACTTTTAAGTGTGTGCGTGTGCGCCCACCTTGGAACCGTAGGTTGTGTGCAGACGTAGCCACTGGGTTTTGTGTCGGTGGAAGGTGCCCCCATGGAAGCTATCCACTTGTGCTAGAAGCAGGGCCTGCAGAGCTCTGTCTACCTGGTATATTATGACTTGGCATTGTTTCTTGAGACTCGTTTGTGTTTAGAACACTTTTTGTCCGTTGCACTGGTTTGCAGTAAAGGGTATGATGAGTGCGGCAAATGTGCATTTTAGAGCCTTTGAACGTGTCAAACGTGGTAATTGTATGTAATTGTGGGACTGGAACCTATTTCGCGATTAGGCACGTTTGCGTTGCTGATGTTTTTCTTGTTATTGAGGTTTTGTCGGGGCATGGGAGGTCAGCCCTTGCGTGCTCTCTTTCTCTGGCATGTGTGTATGTGATGTGTGTATGTGTGTGTGTGTGCCCGCGTGGCAACCGCTGTGGCCAAATGTGGTGCATTTTTGTTTGTGTTGCGCGCCCATGAACTTGCTCAAATCGTGGGTGGTTGCCCTCGGTGCTGACGTGTGGCGGTGAGGTATTCTTTTTGGAGCGTGAACTTGCCACTTCTTTTGGCCTCAGGCCTTGGTTTGCACTTGGGACCATTTTGGATCAACAGTTTTTTCTCTAACTCGGGTTTTCACATGTTCGAGAAAACTCCTGTTTTGCAAGGTGAGGTGTGCAGTCGCTCTACTATAAGATACTTTCCATCTGGGGAATGCGCCCGCCATTTGAAATTTGCTCGAGTGTTCCCGTCGTAGTTGCAAGCAATGGTTCCCGAATGGCCTGCTGCACGACGACACTCTGAACCAGGGAGGGGTATTGGCCGCCCTTCCTTGCGTCCGAGGGCCTCCTTGCCCGATGGCAGGCAATATATAAAACTTCGGTCAGGCATCTCATCGGTGTTGGTAAGCAGCGAGTGCTTGGAACCATCAAATGCAGTGGTTGAAGCTAACGTTCAGGAATGGCCAGCGACAGCCGCTTTGATCATTGCCGAAGTTATTGGAAGTGGAGTCCTCGCTTTGGGAGGCCAAACAGCAGTTGTTGGCCTTGTACCTCCTTACAGAGCAAAAACGCATTATTGTTTTTATTTCGAATTTGCAGAAGAAGTTTGCAATGTAGGTGTGCAGAACCATTAATCATTAACCCCTTGGCTTGCCCAAACCTTAAACATTAAGCTTTTTTCAGATGCAGAAACTCATTGCGCTGTTGTACTGATCAAGGTCGTTGGTTTGTTGGCGCTTCTGCTGTTCTACCCAGCCAATGTTTTCACAGCCCTTCTTTTGGGCAAAGTGCGGCAAAAGTTGCCAGCAGCCTTGACCTTTGGGGATGCATTAACGATGGTGCTGGGTCCGAAAGCTGGCCGATATGGATACATGGTTTTGTACTTCTACCTGTTCATGTGTATGGCGAATTACTTGATTGTGTTGGGGCATTCTGTTCAAGCATCAATCTATTGGACATCGACGTGCCAGCCCTGGGCATGTTTCATCGGCACAATTCTGTTGTTGCCTCTGAACCAATTCCGCACCCTTAGTGGATTGACGCTGCTGAGCATGGTGTCCTTTGCAACTATTGTGACAACTCTGGCTTTGTGTCTATGGACCTTGCTCACGAATGCAAGTTGCCAACCTCAACAGCGTGAACCGGGTTTCCTCGACTACAACTCCTGCATCTCCGGCTTTGTATTTGCCTTTGCAGGCCAGCATATTATGCTTGAAATGCAGGCTGAGATGAAGAACCCGGAGCATTTCCCCAATGCTGTTTTCTTATCATATTCAGTATTGTTTCTTGTTTACACTCTGGTGGCAGTTCTCTCCTATTTGGCGTGTGGCAAGGATACACCTGGAGATCTTCTTTTAGTCTTGCCAACAGGTTGGTGGAAGTCTCTTGCAGGTGCGCTTATGGTTCTACACTTGATGGTCACCTACACCATATCACAGCAAGTCTTGAACAGAGCTATTTGTGTGTACCTACTTCCTGGGGCGCTTCAGGATGGTTTAGTGGCGCGATTCAAGTGGTTCCTGGTTACAAGTGCTGTGATGGCTGCCTGCTACACTTTGGCCAATGCCATTCCGCTCTTCCAGGAGTGGGGGCACTCGTTGTAATTTTGTATACTGTCTGCATTTGTATATGTATATAGTTACTTTTTGGTGTTTCGTATTTTGTTTTTCATTCTTTGTTCCCCGCATCTTTTTCCACAGGATGTTGTGAACCTATCGGGAGCTCTCCTCTCAACGCAATGCGTGTTCATTTTGTGCGGGCCCTAGCTCATGTGAATTCACATTCAACACGTGACGCAAGGCGGGCCAGCTTTGGAAAGATGTGGGAGGCTACTATAATACATATAAGGTAATCACAACAGGCAAGCTCTCTTGCGACCAACGGTTTTCCCTACTGGTTTACGGGCACTGCCTCGTTGGGCTCAACTCGGGTGCCAAACTGAACCAGAGATCACATGTGTCTGGAGGCTGCAAAGGCCACCAATAATGTGTCAAGATGGCTGATGGAGGTGGAAAGTTCCTGTTGTGGAGGAGGATTTGCAATAAGGTCTCTATGCCGTTTCTTGGAACATGTTTTGGGAGGTATGCGGGTAGTGGGTACTGCGGATGTGCTTACACAGGCGCCACAGACTTGGACCTGTTCTTTCTGGGAGCAGCTCGATTTTCTCAAAGTGACATGGCTAGAGCACCAAACTTTGTGATAGTGACTTTCTGTCTTCCTGCCTTACTGCCTCCCTCCCTCCCTCTCTCTCCATCCCAGATTATGATTGGAACCAAGTCTGTAGAGTCTATAGACAGACGATCAATAGCTTGGCAAAGGTTGGTCTCTGTTGTTGCTACTCCTTTTGTTTCTCCGTGCCTTGGATCATGGAACTTGATTCTGCAGGCCGGGAGTGCTGTTCCTGGCGCTCTGCTCTTTTGAGTTGGTTCAACGTGAAGGGCAAGTGGCTGTTTGGATTGGCTCGTGGTCTGCCATTTTAGTGGGATGCTAGGTAGCCAGCAGTTGGTTTTCTTGATTTCCTTAGGTCCTTGAGTTTTGTTGATTGGCATGCGGCTGAACATGCATTTGGAACCTGAGCTCCGCGGGCCCCAAAGGAGTCTATTTGATCATCATGGGCACACTGAGCAGTATCGTGGTCATTTCTGCCAAACTGTCTTCTGGGAGCAGCCGGCCCTTCTCATGCTAGGACCCAAAGAAGGTCCAGGTCAAGAGCAGAGGCCTAATCCAAACTGGCAAGATGCAACCGCGGTTTCACACGATTGCCACACACTGTCATGAAGTGAGGTTTCCTCGGCAGAGGAAGCATCATCGCCCTATGGAAAATGCTACTGTATGGCCTTGGTGGAGCATGTTGCATTCTGATCTTTGTCACCCCATGCTGGCCCACTTGCATCAGAACTATGAACAACTCACCATGAATCTGAATGTTTCACCCACTCAAACCACGCTTGACAGTAAGTTACTTCCTAGGCCCTAGGATGCAAGTTGGCGTACAGTATATAGATGATTGGTTGCATTTGGCACAAGCTAAAGCTGAGAATTGTTGCAATGTACTTTGATCCGGCAGAGGCCCTTTATCCGAAGTCTCCATTTCACATACTTTTTGTGGCTGGGGGCCATGACCAAGATGATATGCTGGGTAGCAAGCCGGAGATTTTCTCCCTGTCTTCATTGTACTTCTGCGACAGCTGCTCCAGAATAGTCTCCAGAAAGGACTTGTCTGAAGACGTAGATTCCTACTACTGCCCTCACTGCTTGGAGAATATGCCTTCAAGTGAGGCTATGCTATGTGGAATGCGATGCTCCAAGTGCTGGGAATGCCCAGTTTGTTGCAGCACATTGACGCCCTGCATTGCAAATCCCAGCTCGAAGGAACAAACATATCATTTTGCTTGCAGCTATTGCCGATGGAGCTCCAAAGGTAGACAGGAAGCAGAGAAGCCAGAACAACTTATCACTGAAATCGTTTCCTTAGAGCGGGAGAGCCAGCCCCGCCAGCGTATGATGGCTATGCTCGAAGCATTTCGAACTCTTGTTCTCAATTCATGTAAACTGGTTGTCATTTTTCAGTCTGCTTGAACCTAGGCCTTTTCAAACTCTTACTTTTCGCACTTGTTGTCACCCTGTTGGCTGCCTGTTAACCAAGGATCAAAGGCGCAAGAGCAGCAGCGAGAGAAGGAGCTAGCGCAGCGGTTGCGACGGCGCACATCTGCTCGAACCTCCTTCTCTGCTGCATCACTCACCGCATTTGCTGCCCGTCGCTTCAGCTCTGCTGCGACGATGCGGAGTGGGGCAAGGCTGCCAATGAGCGGGGTGAGTGGAGCGTTATCAACTGAGCTGAAGAAAGAGGGTGGTGAGAGTGGCCAGTGGAACGTTGAAGACCTGGAAACAAAACTACTTGAACAAGCGGCACGGAACTCTGACATCCGCTCAGATGCATATATGTCTCAACCTTCACCTGAACCTCCAGCATCACCAGAAGTGAAGGACAGCCCAAAGCGCTTTAGCTTTAGTGGGGCAGCTTCACAGGAGGTGCCTGTCCTAGCAGGACTCTCTGTTGAAGAGGTCTTGCGCTCACACCGTGAAGCTTTGCCCTCTGGACGCTGTTTGCTAGATGATTTGCAGAACAGTATTGAGGCGGGCGATGTGCAGGGTGCTTCGGCATCCCTCAGTATGCGATTGGCACAAGTCTCGTATGGTTATCATGGTGTTTCCGTGAATAGTGCTGCCAAAGCAGACCTGGTGAATGGCCTTCACAAAGGCCAGTCTCAACTCGAAACGCCTTTGCAACATCAAAATGCCTGGAAGCTTTTGCCCATTCGAAAGCCACTACTTACAAAGCGATCACGGCGGTGCAAGTTGAATTGCAAGCCTGGAATGGACAGTGGTGCGCAGGATGCCACAGCTGCAAAAACATGCAGGGGGCTGGTTGTAAAACCTCAAATCAACCCCTGTGCAAACCCGCCATTCCAGAAAAACAACGTTGCAGTCAATTTTGTTCCACGATGCTTGCCGTGGAGCTGTGTCGAACGCAATGGAACCTATGAGTTGGTTCTGATCCTGGCAAATCCGATGGAGAGTGACCTGGAGATTGACCTGAATCCATCTGCCTTTAATGCTACCCAAGAGTGTGCAGGTGACTGGCGTGAGCTTCTTTTGCAGCAGAACGTAGAGGTGTTGACTCCAGCTTTCACTACTACCATTCCAAAGTTCCTTGACATCACTGAAGCGACCGAGGTATTTGAGGAGGAGACCAAACAGTTGCGACAGAGGGATCGCGCTGATGTGACGACCAAGGATGTTATATTGGATCGCAAACTGAACAAGATCTTAGTGCGACTGCAGTTTCGCAAAGTCGAGACGGAGACGCAACAAGGTGGGACACCGGGTGGGCCAACTGGGCCGACTTCTTGGCCTTGGCGTTTCTTCATGCAAATGATCCTGAAGTTTAGTGTGAAATTTAGTGCAGACGAAAGTAAGGCGCACCAGGTCGAGGTTATTTTTTGCCTCAGGGCTGGTGATGCAGATCGAACAGCAGGGTAGCAAAAAGACATACGGCATCCTACTGTATACAATACTTTACTGCATACGCGACAGGAGGGTTACTTGTCGGCATGGGTGGAAAGACAGCGCAGCAAGTTTGGGCTTGCAAGTGGAATGCTTGCGGTTCAAGGAGAAATGTCGACCGTTGACCGTGGCCCCTCCCAATGACCAGGCTAAGGCACAAGACACGAGCAGATAAACAAAGTTCAAATGTGGCTCGGAGTATATAAACTAAACTAACATGCATTCTACAGCGTGCAAATTGCTTGCAGGTTAAACTTGCTCGGAATATTGGGAATGCAAGCTGTGGTGGAACTGCGCTGAATTGTGATGCTTGGTCCACTTCATGTCAATGTTGAACACTGCCGCACGGTCCACATGAATGCACCATGTAAAGTAGCTGTTTGCCCCTGGGTAGATGCCTAAGGTGACAACAGTGGCGCCGCGATGTTTGGAAGAAGCAACTCATGTAGTCCACTTGAAGGCAGAGTTGTTTGCAGCCAAACTAACAGGAAGTCCCAAGTTGAGTCGTGGCAGCTTCCTCCGCTCTTTGGCTAGGGCTTTGGCTGTGGCCGCTTCCCAGAAGATGGGCGTGGCTGTGAAGAGCTCAGTGTTAGTTTCTCAACTGTGACGTCCCACTGGTGTGAGGTCTTCATACTCATACTCATACTCTTGAGGATCTCGTTTTGTAGGTTGTGATCTTTGGCTGGTGGAGATGCTGGCAGCTGCTTGTGGTACCTCTGGTGTCATTGCTTGGGATGGCGATGAGTTCGGGGAGGACAGACATGGGTGTGAAATTATATATACATATAGATTTCGATTTCCTTGTGTGTGAAGTCAGGACAGCTTCACCCGCATTCTTGACAAGGCTGCGTGGGAATCCATCATGTCAAAGAACCGTGAAGCGCGTTATCAAGATCCCAGGCCTTGTCAAGCCGCTCCATTCCAGCTGTGGCCTTCTATTGGCGGAGCCTAAAGGACTCATTCCTCGAATCTTGGCAACCTCGAGCAGAAAGATACTCTGGCGGGCTTCATTTGGTGCTTCTTGAAGAGAACAAGACCTGTGGAAGTAACGCGGTTTGCAATGGACGGGGGCCCTGCAATCAGTTATTGTTTGGGCCAGTCCGTTGCGCTGGGTTCTTTTCAATTCAGGCCCACGGAGTGATGCAAGTTGGGTGCAACTTGGCATCGCTGCTTTGCGCTTCACCAGGGCAAAGCAAGTGTTGTCGCTGGGCGGTGGAGGCACGGCATTGAAAATGAGGGTGGTGCTAGTTGCTGGTGGTTGGTAGTTCGCCGTGGCTTTGATATTGTTTTGCACGCGCAAATTTTGACATAATTCTTTATTATTTTTTGTCCCTCTCTCTCTCTATAAGCATATACTTCTGATGCAAACGCACAAGACTTGCGAAATCACTACAACCAGCAGCCTATGGGCTTATTTGGCACTCAAACAGAATAGTTCTCACAGCTTGCCATTGGCAGGTGTTGTTGCCGAGGAGGCTGCTATTTGTGCTAAGGACGAGCAATTGAACCAGGTGCATTGGCGCCTCATTTTGCTTTCCAGGCAGGCCGCTCCAACCAAGACAGTGTGCTTTTGCTCGAGCTGTGCTGGCTTTGGCTGGCTTTTGATATTTTTGGCCCGATTGACCCGTTTGAGCAGAGGTCCGGCTCGACCATCCACGAAGTTGACTATGGTAGCTTATATGCACGTTTCCGTGCAGAGAAGTGGTCCAACTTTGAGTGCCTTGAGGCACAAGACGCCAGGACACTTGAAGATGACCTCCTTGCAGCAGGAAAATGCAGGGTTCCGCTGCACACCTCCAGCTATTCCTAATGATTCTAATGCCTGAGAACCCGACACGAGAAGGGACAGTAGGCCGTTGCACAACATGGCAGAACCCCATATACTCAACGTACATTTTGCTACGCTATGCTATGCTCTAGTTTTGTCTTAGACGGGCAACTTTATTATTGATCATAGGGCTGACGACCGCAGCATTGACTTGCGAGCTGTGCCTTTACCGAAAATGGGCCCATGGCGTCGACCCCGAGGATCAGTCATCGTGAGGTCCTGAGATCCTGATTTGCCCAGTCGTGGCTCCTTTTAGACAGTGCAGTGCAGTCCTGTTTTTCATGACAATTCTGACTTTATCCAATCGACAAAATTTGTAACAGTGACATTCAGGTTCCGGCCTTCTTGGTTTGGGTTGCTGCCAATAGGCTTTACTCTGGCTTTGCATTGCTTGCAAAGCCCAACTCATTTGGTCGGGAAAGTGTCGAGACAGGCAGGCCCTTGCAATCTGGGAGTTTTTAAGGAGCACTTGAAGAAAAGCAGCAGCAAAGCGATGCAAAGCACAGTGAACAGCACGTTGGACGCCACACATTCAGCGATGCCTGTCACTCAGCATGTTTGGAGGTCGCCCGCTCGGCCGCACAGCAACGCATGCATCATCAGCCAGAGCCATCGCTCAGAGACTTGAATGCATACATGGCATGCAAGCGCCCCATGCTGCTGCCTTTGCCGCTTGCAACATTGCACATTGCTTTTGCTGCACAGAGAGTGGGGGTTGCTGCACTGAGGGGAGGCAACCTTCTTGAAGGCAAGGCGAGAGTTCATCCTCAATCGCAGAATGATCCTTTGCCTCAGGCGAGCGCTTCGTTGTGCTGGCCTTGGGTGTTGGGATGCGTACGCAAAAGGCATGCTGAGAGAATGAACCATGTGAATGCCAAGGCAATGAATCGCTTCCGAGTCAAGGATGGCCTTGAGGAGCAATTTGAGCAGCGCTGGGGCAACGACCGCTCGATATCTAGCCACTCGGAACCGGTACTCTCATGATACTTCATATCATATATACATGGTTCAGCACAATTCTGCCCAACAAGAGGCCATGAATCTAAACCGAAGATCCGCGGGCAGCTGTCGGGCAGCTGTCCAGCGACATGAGTCTTTATCAATCCTGCAGGTTTGCAAGGCTTGCGTTGGTTCTGTCTGCTGCGGCGTGTGTCAAGCACACCCAAGTCCACAGGGGCGCTCAGTGCCTGGTCCTCAGAGGCATCAGGACCGGGTCAGAGTCGTATGGTGGCAACTTAAATGTTTGCAAAGGACATGCCCAGTCAGAGCTTCTTGAGGGGAGTGCAGCAGGGTGCAGGACATTAGAGTATGTCATCGACTAATACAAGTCATCTTAGCTAGAGAGAATTGCCCGCTTAGTTGCAACTTGGTGTTGCAGGAGGAGGAGTAGGAGTAGAACCCGCAGTTGTATAATCTTTATATATATATATATACATTTAAATGTGTGTGTTTTTTTAATAGTCAGTTCCACCCATCAGTGAGTGCGCATGCTGGCACGGGGAAGTCCAAGTTGTTCATAATTCATGGAACTTCAAGCGCTCATGGTGGCAGGCTACATATGCAGACTGGAATGAAGAAATAGCTGTGTAGCCGGTTGAACGGGTCTGCAGTTGACTTCACTTCCATTTGTCACAGCCCAGGTTGTGTTTGACTCTGATGATGAGCAATTCGAAGATGCAGCTCAGTTGCACGGATTGTCCATAGTCGGAGCGTGGGTGCACGGCCGTTTAGATGGGGTCACGTGCGCATATGGACGTGTTGGATGTATTGTGTACTTGATCAGCCCCACTTGTCCTTTTTGCCGCTGGCTTTTGGCTGCAAAAGGGTTGAATGATGTGTCCTTTGGCACACCCCTGTCTCAGGACTATACGTATGTGTCATTGGGCGTGTGGGAGAACCAGGAAGCATTCAGTGGTGCTGGTGGAATGTTGCAGGACGCTCTTTCCAAATGCACCCCATGTCGAACAGAATGTGGCGGACGGAGTCTTGCAGAGTAACGTGATTTGCTTTTTTCATGCAAGCATTTGGGTCGACAGTCTGCAGACTTCTTGCCAGGAAGCTGGTGAAGATAGCGCCAGCTTTGCAAGTATGGCACTTGTCTTAGGATGGAGGCTGGCATTCTCTTCCAGCACTCGCCAGCAAACTTACCATGCATGCTTATTAAGGTCGCTTCGGCCGATAACCGCCCGCACCATGTTGCTCGGTGAGGCAGAACAAGGAAAACAAGCGCTAATCCAGGATCAACAAAAGCAAGAACAGGATACAACAATAGGAACAGGATCATGCAAATAATCCTGAGTAGATCCCCTAGTCCGTTGGTCTTTTGGTGCCCTGGTCCATTGGTCCCATCCCATGGTCCTTTGGCCTCGTGGTCCATTGGTCAAAAACACGAGGTTTGCGAAAACTAAAAGCTACTCGGTTGCCTTGGTCCGTGTGTCACTTTCTGAGTGCCCTTCATTGATGAGGCAATGGGTGTGTAGTCTTGGATGATGATCTTTTTTGATGTTCGTTCTGCGGAGGTGGCGCTGCACCCTCGACCCCAACCCCCCTCCAGCGCCGCGAAAATCGGCACTACTTTTGCCAGTGCACTGGGCCTGCCATGACAGACTTCTTAAGGGTCACCCATATCGGATATTGCTCTCACTCGCCTAAGTTTAAAGTACTAGTTTCATCTAGTGTCGAGTATGTGTTTCAAACATCCTTTCATTGTCCTTTGGTCGCCTGCCCTGCTGCTGTTGTCCTTTCCCTAGTTTCGTTTCCTTTCATTGCTCACTGAGAGTTCTTTTTTTTGAGATTCCTTTCTCTTTTCCGTGCGATCCCCGTCAAATATTTCTTAACCCAATGCTATTTTTGGCTACCCCACCCTTTTTCCATGTCCAGATGATTCGCAAACGAATGATCAGGACGCAATCGAAATTGCAAATTCATTGAGCTGTAGAAGTGATGGCACGATTTCACACACATATGGGTCAGATCTTATGCGAACAGTTCATCCCGAGGTTTAATGTCGATCATACATATTTGATAGTTTTGTGTATATATATATACCATATATGCCTTACTATTATTTTTCGACCTTGATATTGTCGATCATACCTTGAAATTGCACTTTTTAAGTAACAATATTCAACAATGCCTGCAACCTTCCCTTTTATTCTTTGTTTTCACCCGCTGCATTGCATCACATTGTGGTGTAAACCCAGTGTACTGTATCGTCCTCATTTGAATGGACTCTACTTTTCAGCCCCTTGAAATTGTACATTTTCAGGGGTCAAACTTATATCCAACGATCCCTGCATTTTCTATTATATATTGTCTGATCATGCATATTGTATGTACATATGTATAGATTGTATTCACTTTTTGTTCTCCTTCTCGCCCCCATCAAAACTGTACATATTTTCAGGTGGTCCAACTCTTATCCAAGAATGCTTGTTCATTTTGGTATTTCGTTTGTGGAGTTCTACTGCTTTTCAAAATCCACCGCATTGTGCTATTCATCACCATCATGCTCATTGCATACTTTTGTTTTCTGTACTGCGGGTATCATTATTGCATCATTTGCATCACCAGATACTGGAAAGGCAAACAAACGACTGTTCACTCCTTCAAAAAAGATGCAATTTCTCACCAAAACCGTGCCATGTTCCAATACTTCCCCTCCAGGCACACCTCATGATGCCGGAAATGCAATTCGTTTTTTTCCAACGGAAAAGGCACCCCGAGCTCAAGCAACAGGAGCGATGTTAACGCGGCCCATTGCGACAACGCCTCATATTTTTTTGGTGCGGGTGGATGTGAGCACCACCGAATTGCACAATTCAAAAGTTTTGGTTCGTTGGCACTTGGCACTAACGGGTCTCCGAGGCCTTCAAAGGTGTTGTGACTACAAGCGGAGCACCAAAGCCCGCTCTGTGGGATGGAATGCTGTTAGAGAAAGCCAAGGCGCCAAATTGTGGGCTCTCAGTGCACCGGAGATATTTGAAATACCGTACCTTGGCCCTAGCCCAACAACGCGTCTGAAGCGTGTCCACCCAGATAGATTTGTTGGGAGGCCATGCAAAATAGCAAGGCTGCACCATTCATAGCAGCGCTCTCAGAAGTGCTGACTGAACTGAACGGTGCTTGAACGGCCTTGACATTCAGGTGATGAACCGCTTTGTTGTGAAAGCTGGTTCCGAAGTGGAATTCGAAGAACGCTGGGCCAATCGAGAAAGCAAACTCCTGGAGGCGATCGCCAACAAAACGCAGAACTATGTTTCGATACCTCATCGGTACGGACCAAGGCCGAGACAGGCAAATGTGCCGAAAATCCCGCTTCTCCTTGTCGGTTTGCCCGGATGAAGCCCGCTGCAGGCTGACGGTTTCCAATTCTTCCAGCTTCTTCGGAGAGTCAAGACTCCTGATGATGATGAGCCTGGGCGAGAACTGTCACAATTGTGTTCTTGTCCATGGAATAGTGCTTTTACAACTGCGCTGGACTCCGGACTAGTGCTAATGGCTGCTAATGTTACTTAAAACGGGCTTAAACCGTGTTGTCAGTGTAATTAGCACAGGTGAACTACATCAGCATGAGCGCCTGGGCTGATCGTGGCGCTTTTGATAAATGGTGGGAAGGCAAAAGCTTTGCCAACATGGCTCAAGCGCAGCCTGGCATGTCTTTCTCAAGCGATGCATCGGTTCTTAAGCTTAAACTGCAGAATGTTGGCAGAGGAAGATGTGCCAGGTTCAGGGGAACTTGTTGGAGGGCGTTACTTGGAGAAGTGCCGAGATGTTCAATCGTGTTTCAAGACTTGTAGCATCTCATAACTACTGTAATCACTTGTTCGATTGACTCTGTATTCAGTTCAGGCGCTTGAGAGAATGTGTATGTGAGAGACCTTCGTGACAAGAGTGGATATAGTAGGATGATATAGCTTGTGTTTTGCATTGTGTGTCCTGGATGAGCCGGTTGTGTGGCTAAGGAGATTGTACGGTACTTCTATGAGGGAGTGTTTCTTTGCCTCATTTTGCCTCTACATTGTACTGGGTAATTATCTGCATCATGATCGAGTTCATTTCGATGAATTATTGAAAAGTGCATCCCCATGTGGTAGTTATGTGTCACCCTTTGCGCGACACATCAGCACCCGCTCCAGTTGATAAGGTATAGCGCATGCAGAAGTAGGAGGGGACAAAAAAGCATGCCAGCCTTGGCTGATTTTGCTAGTGCGATCTCCAGGGGTTCAGAGAACAGCAGGCAAAACTGATTATGGAATCTTTTCGAAGCAGTGAGATGTTCGTGGATCAGAGCGTCATTGCTTCTGCCCCTTTTGGTAGACGGACCTTGTGTGTTTAGATGGAGCTGTTTTGCAAGTACAAAGGTTGGTTGTGGAGGGCGACAAGGGCCTTTGACAACTTTGACGTCAAGGAAGGCCATGGGGGTCTTGTTGCATTTCTTCGTTGCCCTGATTCAGTCTTGGGCCTGCCAGGCCTAGCAGAATTCTGCCCACAAGTTGTCTAAGCGCTTGGTTTCACCTGCTCATTCGTGGCCAGAGACATCGAAGATTGTGCATATTGTTTTTAAATTCAGCAAATTCAGCCTGGACTAGTGCAGGGCTCACATTTTTCACTCAGATCGTTTGTGTCAGTTATCTGCGCGGCAGAAAAGGGATGGCTTGCAAGGAGCACCTTGCAAAGTTTGGGGCTCGCTCAGTTCTGCAATTGTCCAAGCTAGCTCCAACATTCGTCAGCTCGACACATTCATTTGTGTCCGTACTGTAGCGTTGGCAGGCTGTCCATCTTCAATTAAAGCTGCATCCTTGCCCACTTGTTTGTGCTTGCGCGGACAAGTTCATCATCCTCATGAAACCCTTCCCTTCATGCCGGCCAACTCCGCTTGAACACCAACGCTGCAATGGAGCCATGGAGGTTTGCTCCCAATGCGTGGCGCATAGCAGCATAGCAATCATTCTCCGGCCTTCTAGACAAACTTGTGGCTTTGGGACCCAGGTGGGTGGACTCCAGTATGGAATAAGGTAGGCACCTCAGAGCCTCTCCGAAGCAGAGCAAGACACATTCCAAGCAAACTGAGTTTCCATGAGTTTCCATTTGTAGATCACCAGCACTGCCGCTGCAACTAGCTCAAGCATTGCTCGAGCTAATTTACGGCGGCCGAGCCAGATCAAGGGCTATAGCAGATGCCAAAGGATTTTCACGTAGCATACATTGTGCGTCATCTCTGAAACGTTTGGCATTCAATTCTATGTCTTGGTGCTAGTAACCAGCTCGATGCTCCAGTAGCAACTCAAGCTATGTCACTGGCTGCTTGCTACTTGGAAGCCTTGATTGACTTGCGAAGTGGTCAGCCAAATCTGTGATTTGTGCAAACTCGTGGTTTGCTTTTTAACGCTGTACATGTAAGACTGGCACCTTGCCAACCTGCATGCCTTGATTTCTTTGAACAAGCTTAGTGTTTAACAGCGTAATCTTATCAGTATCAGGAAAGGCTGGTGTCCTTTGAGGTGCCTCCACACACACGCACACACACACTTGAGATTTTGTGTACGGAACTGAATGCGGTGCCACACGCC